TCTCTCTCTCTCTCTCTCTCTCTCTCTCTCTCTCTCTCTCTCTCTCTCTGTATCTCTTCCAGCCTGGCTATACTCTGTTCTGCCATAGGCCAAAGCATCTTTATTCATTAACCGATAAGAGCAATACATATACAGAAGGACATCCCACATCAACAACAACATCTGTGAATGCAATGCTCAAAAAGCACCTTTTTCATTTAGTGTTCCATGACTGCAAGACAAAAGGAATTCCTGGAGATCAGATCTCCAAAGTGGCTTACTGTATTCCACTATGATCAGCAGTGCCTAGAAGTACAATACACAACTTTTCTACAATTTTGGAGCTTTGGACAAGGAAGCTGAAAAATTAAATCTCATTTATACTGTGACATCCATGGAAGATGCTTAAAAGATTGAAAAAGTCAATCAATTTGCGTACACAGCAGCAAACATTGTCTAGTGAATTTAACATTTTGGTGTAATAGCTGTGAGTCTACATGGTGATGTACTTGGATGAGGTTCTGGAGCACAGCTCGAACTGCTGCTGAGGGGAAGATGGGCTCAGCCTTGGCAGATGCCAAAACATATGGAGAGGAACCTCACTTCAGCTCTGCGTTCAAATATAACACTCGAGGATCAATAGCAAAGGAGAAAATTAGCACAGATCCCTTTCTTATATGTTCCCGATGATTATTTATCGGTGCCGCCATCTCTCCTTCCAAGGGCCAAATTTAGATAAAATAATAAATAATACTCCAAATATGCCTCTTTAGCTTGTGCCAAATAGGTGACAAAGGCTGGATTTTCCAAGACTGCATCACGGAACACAAGACTGATTTTAAGCAGGTTTTGTAGAATTATGCTTCCCCCCAGTACTGTTTTTAAAGAGTCTATTGTGAGAGTGTGTTGGGGGAATGTGTCTTAGGTGAGACAGACTGGGACAGGATGTCTACTTTGGATGTCTCATGCCTTCACAATCCCCAACATGTGGTGCCTCTGGCCATGGTACCTGCTGGATCTCAGGGGAAGGCTTTGCTACCAGGATTTTTAGTGTATTCCAACTCTCAGGTTTTGTCCACTTGTATCCTCACTAGGATCTTACCCTGTTTCTGTCCTCTGGAGTCCAGCTCCAAAATATTCTCAGTCATGGTTAAATGTGTATTCTGGGTGCTTTTTGTACCTTATCTCTAATTTCTAACATGGGACAGCCAGACATTTATTTTTAAATCCCTTTTATGATCAAGAAGTTCAAATTCATCAGGAAAAGTCATGAATCACAAGCAATGTAGCTAGTAAAGTGGCCTCTGGGGATTCACACTTTTTAGGACTGTCTGTCAGCAGAGCCTCTGTCTTTCTCCATGGGTTAAAGGGCACTATACAATGTATCACAGAAGAAGGAAATTCCAGAGTGTAAGCTATTGTCAAGGTAAGTAAGTCCCAATGCCGTGTTTTCCATAAGCAGCGTGATAAGCCTCATGGCTATTTCCTGTTGTTCATCTGTGGTTGGGCTTTGAGTCACAGCTTCTAATCCATCATTCTGGTTCAGTCCTATTTTCTCAGTACTTGGTTTAGATCAGTCTTTATGTCTTATTTGGGTAAAACAAGACACAAGGTAACTTCTAGTTCAGTTTATACAATAAGATTGGAAAGTTGAACAAAAAGCCCAGTTTGCTTTTCTGTATTTGAGCTATCATTGGTTAAGCAGGTAAGGGAAGGTTGAGAAAGCCAGACAGACCTGTTAGGAAACAGGAAAACCACCTGGTTTAGTTCATTTTCCTAATTTGCTTTTCATGGCTGACAATTCTGAGATGAACAAGTTTCATGATCAAAACTGAGAAATATGCATCTGTGCTATTCTGAGTCTGTTTTGTTTACAACTTCAGACTGCCAGAGGTATGAAGAGAAATCTTGTGTGGTTTAAAATAACACACAATACCGGCATTCTTTTCAAGGTTTTACAAAGTTACCATTTCTGTGAATTTTCTGTGTGGCTATCAGAAGATGTGACGGTGGCTTGTCTTCTTCTCCCGTTCCATCCTCACAGATAGTGCACAGAAGCACAATGCCCACATTCAACTCTCCTCACACCCCGCTGTAGCCCTTAGCTCACATTCTTGGAATGTGTGCTTCTTCCAGGCTCAAGGATTTGACTTTTCATCTTTTCTTACAGAATGGGTTATTCTTCACGTCCTACCAAGAAGAGCACTTCAAGAGTGTCACTGTAGTACCTGAACAGTGTGTCTGGTTATATTGATGAAAACAAGAGAGGAAAAAAGCCTTTGGTTATCCTGACTAAAGGGTTTACAAATGTTTGAAGCCCGCTTCATGTAATCTAGTGTCAGCAACGGCTTTAAAACCTAGAAGAAACAGACACTTTATTACCATAATGTTTGTTACAGGTTTTAGAAATTGTCAGCTCTGTTTCTTCGCAGGAAATTTTTATTTTGAGGTGCTTCTTCACAGCAAACACTTTCATTGCCTTTATAGTAAATTACAGATTTACATCCCAGGCCTCGGCATCTCTCACATGTGTGTTAATATGTGCCTGTCTATCTATAGCCGAAGATAAACATACAGATGTAGGTATGTGGTCAGTCCTCAGTAGCCATTCATAAATGTGACCAACCAGAGCTAGAAAGAGGAAAGTATAAACACCATTACTATTAACCCCCCAACGATACACAGATCAACTATATATAATGTTTACATTGTGTTGTGCATTGTAAGTTAACAATGGTTTCCAACATGCAGGAGCAGCTGTGCATCATCTATAAAAAAATACCATGTTATTAAATATGGAACTTTAACATCAGTGGTGCTTTTCTTTTGGGGACCTGGAAACAATCCCAGGGATACTAAGGACTGCCTTCCCAACCACACGTGCAAGAATTTATACTAGGATTTATCATCCGTGCATTTTTTTTTGTCAACTCTGATCTATAGTTTTATTCACCAAGGATGAACTAAGAATGCCATAAGACACTTAAGCACAAAGTAAGATCACCAAGATCAGAGTAGGTACACAATCCACTCATCCTCTGTGTAGCCAAGCAGCACAGCCTCAGTTGGAGGCTTCACTGAGAAAGGAGGCTGTTTAAAGGGAAGTGCTCAGAATTGCAAATGGGAAGGTGCACGTCTTGTTTGTTCTGATCATGGGTCCAACGTCTGAAGTCCATAGTTATGTACGGAAAAAGTGAGGAACACTTACAGGCCATCAGTAAGTCTAACAAGGACAGATGGATGTCAGAAGCAGAGCCTTCACCAAGATCACATGTGGTTCTGCTACCAGGAGAGCGAGTTTGTAGTAGATTTCTTGAAGAAATGAAAAGGGAGGGAAGAGGATAAATGTGTGTGTGACAGAGCTGGAGAGTCAGTGAGAGTAAGGATTATGATAAAATCAATAGAGGTACGTGGAGATGAGAAGGGAGACAGACTCTAGAGTGGAGAGAACATTGATACTGATCTTTCTTTCTTCCTTCTTTCTTCCTTCCTCCCTCCCTCCCTCCCTCCTTTCCTTCCTTCCTTCCTTTCTTCCTTCCTTTTTCCCTTCCCTTTCTTCATTTCTTCCTTCTTCTTTTCCTCATTTTTATTCCCTTAACTTGCTTTTGGTTGATTTGATGAAGTCATTCCTTCGAGCTTTGCAGTTGAGATCTAGGGAAGTAAACAAAAATAACTTTGCTTGTGGCTAGACAGTGACTGGTAGGGACTTCTTACGAAAAAATAGTACTCAAGTGTTCTGAGGAGGTCAAAGGAGAACTAAGTTCTCCAGGATGCTGGCTCAGTTAGTAAGAGCAACAGTGAGACCTGGTCCTGCTAACCCATCACCCAGCCATCCCAGACACACCTCTCCTCCTACCTCATTCACGATAATACAGCTCTCCCCTCCAAGCACCTGGCTTTCAGATTTGGATAACTCTGCCCACCTCAGTGCCTATCAATCAGACTTCAGACTTTACATAACAGCACTGTGTTCATTGCCCAAAATAGAAGCTAGTCTTCAGAACAGCTGTAAGTGGGACATGCTTGCTGCTGTCAGATCTAGAAGAACTAGACTTCCATAGGCCAACTGTAGCTGCATATAAATAGGAACATGGAATGGAGGAAGTCTAATTATGCAAAGAAAATTGGGAGGAATGTTGCCTGCAGGAAGCCCAGCTATCCCAAAGTGTCCCTGAAAACGGCAGGTCCAATTCCATGTAAACCCTTCTGAAATGTTTTCATATCTTCGGTGGGTGTTTGCGCTAAACTATTCAATCAGGCTAGAGCTAGGAGAATTCCCCTCATTAACGTACTAGCACTGAAACTGAGGTGCTAAGAGAGGCATGGGGTGGGTCAGTTGGATTTGAAAGCTTAGGTTTTAAAAGCTCAGTTCCCACGCATACTGTAAAGGAACACATTAGCAAGAGTTGGAGAACATACCATGGCATTAGTGGGCATTATTATCATGTCACCTGGAGTTCCAGTGTTTTGTATTCTGTGGTCTCTGTTTAGCTGAGCCCATTTCCTTCTTCCATTGCATTGATTGAGTAGATGACACTTTTCCCGGGACACTAGGTGGCAGCAAATTGCTGAGTTAAACAATTATCAAGGGACAAAGGGCCTTGAACCTGTTCACCAGTACTAAAAAGAAAGAAGAACTCAATGGCATGTGGATATCACCAAATGTATCAAAGAAGACATAAACACACGCCAAGTTTCCAAGGCATAATGACACCCCCGGTCTCCTCCTCAGAGTTTTGAAGCTGTTGGGGCTAAATCTACTATCAACCCTACAGAGCAGATTTACACATCGAATCTGCTTTAAGCATTTTCTGGTAAAGACTATGTCCAATTTAATTACTTTCCTAGAATAGAAAGATGAGCTTTAATATACTACAGCTTTGATTATTCATCTTGAAAGGTTACCTAATTTCTTTTTAGTTCAAGACATGTTTCTAGGGGCTGAAGAAATAGCTCAGTGGTTAGGAGTCCGGCTGCTCTTGCAGAGAGGCCAGATTCCACTCTCAGCACCCACACAGTATCTCACAACTGTCTGTAATTCTAGTTCCAGGGTGATCTGATGCCCTCTTCTGGCCTTTATAGGTACTGTAGGCATGTGGTACATATACTTATATGCAGGCAAAGTACTCTTACCCATAAAATAAAAACAAACACATCCTTTAAAAAAGAATATCTTTGTAGCTGTTTTACATAGAAATGTTTTAAGCAGATAACTTAGCCAATATAACCACTATAATCTAGAATTGGGATAAAATGGTGAGGCTCTGAATTTGATCCTCAACAGTGTAAGAACATAGCAATAAGAACAGCAACAACAAAATGTATTAGCTGTGCATAAGTCACTACTTGGTATTTCCTAAGATGGCTCCCTGTAAAAGGCTGTAATAGTATCACTACAGTTTTGAAAATGAAATACAAATTGGGGTGATTAAGCCTGACAGTGGGAAACCCAAGGATGCACACATCGTCAATTCAGGCAACAGCTTATCCCTTAACACTGCCTGAAAACAAGCAGGACAGAAATGGGAGGTGCCTTAGGCTGATGGCCAGCTAAGAAGTAAAATGAGCCCTCAACAGGATAAAGAAGCATAAGAAAAGAAAGAACAAAAGTGAACACACTGGACAGTAAGTTTTGAAAAGCAGACATTTGACAGGCTCATAACTGGATATTTCTGAGCTCCCAGGACATCCTTGGGCCACAATGGCATAATGGTTCTAACCATAAGTCTGAAAGAGGAAAGCAAAATTCCTAATGATGGGGGTGGAGGCTGGAATTCTTTCAGAAGACTTTGTGTTTGAGGTGAATCTCATTTCCATTTCTACCTGGTTACAAATTACAGAGTTGTGAGAAGAGGAAAATTTGAATTTCTGTGAATTAGCTTTTGAGGCTTTTAGACTGATTTAGGCTGTTTGAATTTTTAAATCACCACCAAATCTGAAGAGTTCTTTGTGGCCATTAGACTGTCAGGCTAATGTCACTAAAGATAGTTGTGAAGTCCAAACGAAAAGATAGGAGATAAATGTGCTTCCAGAAGAAGCTAAAAATATTCCCTGGCTCCATATAACTATCAAATAAAACTGAGCACACTTTGGGCCCCACGTGAGAGCACTAACATTCTCTATGCGGCTGTTTACTCCTTACACACCAACTGTGTGTGCATGAATAATGCACCACAAATAGGAGGACTGGCCAAGCATTCCTCTTCCTTGTAAAATTCTTTATATTAGAGTCATATGAAAGCATACAAATCATTTATACTTACACATTTAATATTGACTTTCATATAAGAAGTGTTTTTGTTTCATATTAGAGTTTTCAGGAAAAAATATATATTATATATAATACATAATTTATATTATATTATATATAAAATGTATTATATATAATATTATATATAAGAAAGACAACAAATAAAAAATGACTAAGTAATTTTTGAATTTTTGGTTCTCATGTTTTAATATTCACATTTCTTCTTCCTTGATTATTTGAAACAGGGTCTCACTACATAACTAAGACTGACCTGGAATTCTGAAGTATGTAGTATAGGCTACCTTCATACTGGTAGCAATCCTCCTGTCTCAGTCTCCAGAATCCTGAACTAACAGGTTTAAGTCTCTGTGCATGATGATTCTACCTGTCCCCTTTCCGTCTCTATTCATATAATCTCAAATATTATTTTATTATTTTCTGTGTATGAGTGTTTTGCCTGCACGTATGTCTTTGCAGCACACGTGTGCAATGTCTCCAGGAGAATGTCAGATTTCTTGGGACCAGCGTCCTCTGTAAGCCACCATGCAGGTATTGAGGATTCGAGCCAGATTCTCTGAAAGAGCAGCCAGTCACTCCAGAGCCATCTCTCCAGCCCCCTGGTGATTCTTCTCTACTTTATTGGCCAAACATCTTAAACCAGGTGAGCCTTCCTTTGTGTCTCTGTCAACATGCCAATTTTATTCTGATATACTTCAGGTTTCCAAAGTCTTCTTATAGCATTGAGAAAGTAAAGTCACCCACACTTCACGAAGGGTCAAATGATGTTGTTTCTCATAGGGTCAATGTCTACGTTAGTACGTTCTAAAACATACACAGTATTTTGTTTGTTCTGCTGCTGGCTTGTGCACTCGCAGGGAACACCAATTTCCCATCATTATTTATTCTCTTCTGCCCACCTGGTACAATCCCTGTCTCATGCGCTGTGTCTAGGAGGTTCTGGGAAAATTCTAATGAATGGATCCTGCAGCTTTGGAATCCTGGGTGGAAGAGTCAACTGGAAACAAGGGTGTGAAGCGTCCAGAGATTTCTAAAATAACTCTGATGTGATAAAATTTCAATTACTAAATCAGTCAGTTCAGCATAAGACTCATTTTCACTTAACCAGTCTCTGGATTTTGGGTTTCCAAGCGAAAGAGGGAAAGATAGTGCTAGAAGTGGCCTTTCACGGGGTGCACCATTTTTTCCTCCCCTATGAGAAAATGGGTACCACTAGAGGTCACTGCGATTACTAGGAAGGAGGTGGTGAAAGCCCTCTGCCTTTTAGCACATGATCTTGCAAACCCTAAGGATTTGTCAGCCACAGGAGCATTACCAAAGATGAGTTTAAACACTCCAATCTTCTGCATAACTGCACCGCCGACTCTGCCCTGCTTCCCTGTCATGACGTACTTTTTTTATGCCAGGTCTTTTGGGCCTTGCTGGAGACTGAGCAGCCAATTATAATTACAGCAACTGCGGGCTGCTGTGTATTGATGTGCCCAGCAATATTATAATATATTGTTCTGTGTTGCTTTCATCTTTGTCTCTCTGCTGTTCTGAGAGACCCAAACTGTCATCATCATTTTATAGATTGTGAAATGGAGGCTCCGAGGACTGACACAGCTAATGAGTGACAGAAGTGGGATCAAAACAAAAGTCCCCAATTTTAATACCAATCGGATACCTTACCAACACAGGAAGGCGCTTGCCTGTCAGATGGTGATGGTGATGGGCGTGGGGGAGAGTGCCACTGTGGAGGTCAGAGGATGGTTTTCCTTCCACCGTTATGGGGCTTCAGGTTGACAGGTTTGGTGGCAAGCTCTCTTACCCACTGAGCCATCTCTTCCCATTGCAGTAGGAGTTGGAAGTACTGTGTCTACAGAAAGCTCAGGAGTGCCTGTATGTGGCAGGAAGGATATGTTGCATCTGTTACATCACAGTGTATTAGCCAAGCAGATCACCAGTGTGCTGAGGGGCTGGGGTTTATCCAGGGAGGGAGGAAGGGTAGGGACGAATAGAGAAGAGTGAATCTGACAAGCTCACGGTAAGATCTGCTGTTTGAAATATCAGCAGACAAGCTGACCGTGAGTCCATCACAGCAGTGGCTCACAGAAAAGAAAATGAGAGCAGATTTCCCCAGCCCACACAGCCCCTGGACCAGCACAGCAGCAGTGTTAAGTATTCAAAGCCAAGCAAGAGCCTTTCCTAGATCTCAGCAGGTGGGCCGAGACCTAGGAGCTGCATTCACACCCTGCTCTGAGCAGTCGAACAGCTCTATTGGCTAATCAAAGCGCTATTTTTTTTCTCTTCAAGGAGTGATGGTATCTACGTATTTACATAATACTAGTGTCTGTGGCAGGCCTGGCTTAGCAGATGAAGAAATAGGAGCTGAGAGAATTGAAAGACGCTCGCCCTAGGTTACAGAGCAAGTCCACACAGAGTGTACAACCACAGTTCCCAATTTCCACCGGGTCCCCCGCCTCCCAGCACTCTGCTCGATCATCTTTTGCATTGACCTTGAAAGCCCCTCTTGGAGCCTTTCCTCCGAGACACACTCTCAGAGAGGTAGCAGAGGTGGAGGCACAGCCTAGCAAGGAAGGGCTTCTGTAGCTCACGGGGAACCCTCCTTCACTCTGACCCCGCCACAAGCCGGGTCATCGCTATCCCTCACGCAGTTGTCATACTTGGCACCTGGCTGGCGTGTGCCTCTGGAATGGAAAGTCAAGAGACTTTCAAAGTTTCATATACAATAACAGGAAAAAAAATTAAACAAAGGAACCTTTCTCGCAGCCGTCCCCACCTCTGAGCTGTTCCTTTGCAATGGTGGCCAAGGCTCTACATACCTAAAATCCCTGGAGAGCAAGGGAGACTATAAACCCACAGCCACTGTTTGCTCTGCCCCACAGTGGAGGAAATACTAATTGTTAAAAACTTTCGATTCTAGCATAGCTTGCTGGACTTCAGAATTTTCTAGAATGGCAAAAGGAGTTGAGAAGGGAAAAATAATGAAGCTACGGTATATTTATCTCGTGACTCCTGCTGTTGACCAAAGAGCAGACTTTGCCTGAAAAGTGTTAAAGTAGCATTTTCATTTTTGTAGTTTTGACCTACAAAGAACAACAAAGTTAGTACGTTATAGGTTCTTTGTAACTTGAGACTGGGAAATAGGACTTGAAAGGAAAAGAAAATTTGTCAGACAGGATGAGACATGTCTGTAATCCCAGACTGAAGCAGGAGGATCACCAAGAGTTCAAGGCCCATATGGGCCACAGAGTGAGATCCTATCTCAAAACAAACCCAAACAAAACAACAAGAGAATAAGGTAAGCTGGTGCATCGCGTGTAGTGGTCTGTCCTCCCTATTGTAGTGGTCTGTCCTCCCTATTGTAGTGGTCTGTCCTCCCTATTGTAGTGGTCTGTCCTCCCTATTGGAGAGGCTTGCTGGTTGTTACAACTTAGAATCTTCATACCAAAAAAAAAAAATAGTTTTACTGTAAAACACATCAGATAAACTCAGTTCAATTCTCCAGACAGTGAGAATGGCGGGAAATCCTCCTGATGGATGTCAGAAGCGTCAATCCATGGTGCACTCCAGTTTCCCAGGTCCTCCGTGTCTTTCCTTATACAATCTGAAAGACACTGCCCTCTGTCCTATTTCATTAATCTGTGTTGGCCTAGAACTCACACAGTAAGTAATGCTGGCTCAGACTTGTGGCAATCCTCCTGCCTGTACCTTCCAAGCATTGTGCTTGTAGGCAGGATATGCTATACACGGTTTAGTAACTTTTTTTTTTAAACACAATTCCCTACTATAGATATTTTGCAACTCTCAAAAGAGCATCTAAGGCGAATAGAGAAATTCAAGAACTTTTTATTACATTACTTTATTGTATTATTTTTCAGCTAACAGTTCTGTTACATAGTCCTGCTTTGTAACAGAAAGATACATGCAATTTTTGGGAGGACATATATGCTTGCAAACAATAGGTACTGCTAAATTATTTACTTTAAGTCTCCAGATTGAATTAGAGTTCTCATTGGAGGCTCGAGTGGCCTGTGTTTTCTTCTCGCCGGGACAAAAGCCCTGGCATTCTTGACTCCTTTTATTTTCTCATGTTCCAGCCCTCGCCAGATCCACTCCAGGAGGAGAACCTGGGGCTGTTATCTCGGAGATGGATCAAGAGCCTGCCCACCTCTCCCTGCCTCTGTTGGTGCCTGTCTGGCACTAAACAGTATACAGATGGCTGAGAAAATCTACCTGCTTCAACGTGAACAACTACCCACAGACATGTTCCCAGGGCAACAGACAAAAGGACAGGTTAGACCATGTCCCTTGTCTTCTCCCTGCCCTCCTGTGGTTCCTAGCTCACTAAGAGATGCAAATCCCTCCAGTGGGCAGAACGACCTCTGCCCAGGGCCACCCTGGGCCTCCTGTCATTCCATGGACATAATGTTGTCCTCTCACCTCCGATCTGTCACACTGGGCTCCCTGGGTCAGGGATCTGTTTCCTCTGGTTGGGCTCACGTTTTCTCGCAATGTCACCCACTCTCTTGTGTGTCCTAGAGGTCACTCCTCCAGTGACATCGTCCCCTGGCAGCACAGTGAAAACAGAAAGCTGCCCTCACCCTCAGACAGACACTTCTCTGTTAGTTGGTCTCTCAGCTACTCACCAACTTCCCACCATCTGATATATAATTCACTCATTCCTTTGTGTTTGTTTCTTGCTCTCCTCCGCCTTCGTTATCTATCAACCTTAAAATTTGGGATGTTTGTCTCTTCTGTTCTCTGCTCATGCCCAGGTCTCAGACTTGTGGTAGACAAACAGTTCTTGCTCACTGAATGATTAACTGAGTGAATGATACACTGAATGAATGATTCAATGAAGGAATGATATACTGAATGAATGATACAGTGCATATCTAGATATTTGCAGTGTGTAACTTCCCTGAGAGCTCGTTAAGCTGCCTGGTCAATTATGTTTATTCCAGGGACTATCAGCATAGGTATTTTATGTACCTTTCATAGTAGGACAGGAGGTATTGGGTGACTTTCTTCTTTGATGTCCAATAAGCACTAGAGACAAACTGTCAAAAGAACTGAGTAACTATATTTTTGGTTACTTTTTTCATATCCCCCCAAACCACTTCAGAAGGAAATGATAAATTTTTAAAACCGGATTAGTAATATTTTAGTATAGATTATGTTATTGTTTACCTGAGGCTTATAACTTCCATTCTACCTTATAAAATTATGTTTGTTATTTGTTTTTCAGACAAAATCTTACAATTTAGTCCAGGCTTGAAATTACAGGTATAAGTCACTATGTCAAATTCAAAATTATCATTTAAAAGTCATGTGTGGTGGCTCTCACCCATAATCCCAATCATAGGGATTGTCTTAAATTCAGGATCAACCTGTTCTACAGGATGAAACCCTGTCCCCAAACAGCAATGCAACTGTCATTTGAAAGAATAATTTGCTTAAAGAAGTTGAGTTCTTTGCAAACAGTATCATTTGTGTTGAGAAATGTATCTCTTTATAGTTTATTTTAGAAGCCCTTCCTAACAGTTCTTTAATATCTGCAGTTATATTAATATATTTAAATTCATGAGGTTTGAGATCGTAGTTCAAACTCAATTCTCACTGCAGAAAAGACTTTTCCAGACTTGAAAGAGGACTCAGTGGATGAAGAGCTTCCTATGCAAGCGTGAGAACCCGGATGTAGATCCCAACACCAACATAAAAACTGGGCACAGCTCTGTCCTCTCAGCCCTGGGGAGATAGAGTCAGGTGGATCCCTGGGACTTGCTGGCTAGACAGTCTAGCAGACTTGGTGAGTTCCATGTTCAGTGGGAGGCCCTGTCTGACAAAATAAGATAAACAGGGACTGAGGAAGACAACTAAATTCAACCTTTGACCTCCACACATGCATCCATGCACCTATACACACAAATACACAGCATGCACTCTCTCTCTCTCTCTCTCTCTCTCTCTCTCTCT